TAACGATGTAAGTTTATTCTTTATTGAAGTTATTGGAATCGACGGAATATCATAGAAGTCAACAATGAAATTAATCAGAATATCAAATGTCTTTCAATTTTTCAGATCTGATGAGGATTCTGCTGAATATGGACCTGCAAAGTACGACTTCGACTGGCCGTGAAGCACGACTACTCCGCCAACCACTTCGGCCACCAGGAGTCCCGCGACGGAGACTACACCCAAGGCTCGTACTACGTGCAGCTTCCCGACACTCGCTTGCAGACTGTCAAGTACTACGTGGACGGCGACTCTGGCTACGTGGCCGAGGTGGAGTACGAGGGCGAGGCTCAGCATCCTGAGTCCGAGGAGTATCGAGTGTCTCGAGGCCGATACTCAGCCCAAGACTCAGACGAGGAGGACTCGTCCGAAACGCTGGTTCGAGCTCCCGCCAGATTTTATGGCTCACCTTTGTAAATCTGATAAAAATGACGGATCCCGCCTGATTAAACCGATTTAAGATAATGTGAATGTAACTTATTTGTATATTTAACTGTAGTAAAATCTAACTTGCACATCAGCCTGAGATGCTTATTCTGAAAATAATCCTTGTCCATGCTTTATTTAACTACATATCTATCTTGTGGTATAAAATCAATTGCATCTGCGTTAGTTACTGCACATGAAAGTTACCCATTACACGTTGGAATTGTGATTGCAATCACGGAAAGAGACTTTACTAAATGTTACAAAATAAGTAAAATTATCGTAAATGAAATGAAGTTCCAACCCTAATTCCAGTGCTGCTGATAAAATAAGGATACTACCAATGAATACAATGTCAGTGAATCAAAAATCATGATAAGGATAATAACGTTTATGGTGATAAAGATGTTAATGGAAAGAATCAAGATAATAGTAATAGTAGTAGTAACGAGAATGGTTTCTACTAGCCATTAGATAGCCATTCTTCAGGACATTGTCTGAGCTGTCACATTGTGTTGATTTAAATGATTTACACTACATTTATTTATGATGATTATTATTATTTTAGGCATTTATAGCAGTTGCTGGGAATTTTTGCTTATGGAACGAAGCACTTTGCTTCTAAATCTACAGTTTCTTTTATGACTCGGCGAAAAGAAATATGGAACGAAGCACTATGCATATAGTATTGCTGTATCTGCATTATACATGACAGGCTTTCTGAGTGGGAAGGGGAAAATAATACAACCAATTCGCTATATAGTTATACCTTGAAAAGCGATTTGAAAAACAAGTTACATTTGCTAAACATTCACGTGGTATAAATGACATATACTTTAAACGCAATTTTGATGTCATATTTACTGCACTGCAAAAGCGAATGAATTAGTTGTTTTGCATGTACTCAATTACAAATAACTGACTTGTAAGGAATGGATTTCTCAGGTCCTTATTACCTTAATCCATAAAGGCTAATATGAAAATGATAAGAGAAACGAAGATGATCATGACAGTTAAGAATTATAACTACAGCATCAGCATAGAAAAATAATAAATAACATTAATAATAAGTGATAGTAATAATAATAATAATAATACAAGACAGCTAGAGGCACACAGAGGGCGCATACCTCCGCCAAGGCATAAGTTCCCCGATGCAATGAAATTATTCACACTAAGAATTACATTAAAATCACCTTTCTCAAATACACAGGTGACGTCCGTAAACAAAACCTCCTTGGCGGAAGGAAGGCAACAGGAATAATGATGCAATAATAATAATAATAATAATAATAATATAATAATAATAATAATAATAATAATAATAATAATAATAATAATAAATCCTGGATCTGGATCGTGATCCGGATCACCACGTAAATTTAATGAAATCCAAGTTAGGTTAAGACACACCTGTGGTAATGAATTCACAGACGTCTGCTTATAACATTTTGAGTTAATAATGCTAACGAACGAATAAATAATATCCGGATCGTCACCAAAATCTAATGATATCTAAGGCAATGACACAATTCCGTAAAAATGAGAAAAATCTCTTCATAACTTTTGAGCTATCCTGCTAACCAGCCGACCAAACAACAAACTAACGAAAACCGTAACCTCGATACAATATATATGAGGGTCATAAACAATGATAATGTTGATGATAATAATAACGATAAAATAAAAATTGATAAGAATGATGTTAATGATGGTAAGAATAACAATTATGATAACCATGACAAAAACAATGATATGATAATGATGATAATGATAATGATAATAATGATAATGATAACAATGATATAATAATAATGGTAATAATGATAACAATGATGATGATAATAATAGTAAGAATCATAATGATAAAAATTGACAACTAACAATAGCAATAATAGTGATAATGATGCCGACAATTATGGAATTTGTTAATAACAATAATAAAAGCATGAAAATTTATCGCATGAACTAATGATCTTAAAAAATAGTTGTGTATTTACACAACAGCATTGTGAATATAATGATGATGACAATGAGGGTGATGATGATGATAATGATAATGACAATAGTAATAGTAATAATAATAATAATAATAATAATGATAATAATAATGACGATAATGATAATGATAACAGTGATGATATGATGATAATGATAACAGTGATGGTGATAATAAAAAATAGTAATGATAATGATGATAATAATGATTATGATCACAGTGATGGTGATGGTAATAAGAAGAAATAGTAATGGTAAGGATATTAATGATGATGGAGATAAATGATGAAAATGATGCATGAAATAATGATGATATTGTAAATAAAAGTAAATCAAATTATGCCAATGATAGAAATAAGTCAAATAATAATGAAAGCATTTATAATAATCCAAAAGTAAGATGATAGTGATGATTATGATCAGCAAACATTTATAGAACCCTAAAGTTAATGACAATAATGATGGGTCAAATAGCAAAGACAAAAAAAAAAAAAAAAAAAAAAAAAAAAAATAATAATAATAATAATAATAATAAAACGAAAAACGGAAGTAAATACCCAAGCTTTACACATTTACCCTAGCATGGAAACGAGTCAAAAAAAAAAAAAAAAAAAAAAAAAAAAAAAAATGCTCCAGCTGTTGCAACATCTTCGCCTACTTCCCTTGGGGTGACGTCCTTGAGGACAACTTCTTCTCGCACTCGGCAGCACTTCCCGCTTGGAAACTTCTTAAAAAAAGAGACTTCCTCTGTTTAGAAACACCTTGACGCCTCTGTTCGTATTTTGTTTCGTTTAAGGTGCCATGTTTGGGTGTCGCCGTTCGTTTTGTGTTTGTCTGTTGGGTCGAATATATTTGGCGGTGTTTCGTATATTTTTTGGGGGAATTAATAGGTATGGTTTTGATGGGTTTCTGTGCATATTTTTGGGATAAGGATTTAATATTGGCATATGACACTGTAGGATATTACAGAACGAGAAGAAAATGTCAAGAAAATTTCCAACGCAATGGAGTAAATGTAAAAACGAGAGCAATGCTTACACGCCCAGACATTATGTAAGGGAAATCCAGCGCAAGAAATAGATAAGAAACAAGATGTATGAGAGAACAAGGAAAGAGGAAATAACGTATCTGGAGCGTTGGAAAAGACGGTCACGACGCGCGAGTAATTGCACAGGAATTTCACCTTGTCTCGCACGCTGTTGCACGAGGTCAGCCGCGTGGAGATCACATGCAGAATGGCCATTTTGTCACCCGGTAATTAAGACACAGGTAATCCGACGCCACGTGAGACATGCTCGGGATCTTTTGAAACGGAAAGAGAAATTTGGTTCAACGTTGAGAAATCTTGGTAGTTTCTCCCTTCGTCTGTCGCATCTTGGGCTGACCTTTCCTTTAGCTTTCGGGTGACATTGACATTTCCACTTGTCCCGCTCGGATCGAAAATTCATCCTGTCAAAGGTTTATACATCTGCATCTGTACAATGACACAGCTATATTTAACCATTGGTACATCAACCAAATGATACAAACTACATCTAGCACTGATACGTGTATATATAGTTTTGCTATTTCTACATTTAGCCTCTGCATATTTATGTATATCATTAATCGTCTATTTCTAGATGAGTACCTTTTTATCTAACCATTAATAGTCTACATCTGACTACTAACGACTACATTTAGCCTCTTACAAGGGTATTATAGCCATTAATACCTCTATTTCTACCAACTGATAGGTCTATTTCTTAGCAGTGGCTGATACATATACATGTAGCCATGATAATTCTACTTCATCTATCCAATTATATGTCTACATCTACCCAACTGTATGTCTATATCTAACCAGTGATATGTCTACACTTAACTAACCGATATATCTGATACACAAATATATAGGTCAAAATATGTATATATGTCTTTAATGCGTCTGTATCTAACGTAGTGTAGTTGTCCAAACAATGATATCACGACGTCTAGCTGCAATATGTCTCAGTCTAGCCATAATTACGTTATACATACAGCCAGTGATATGTATACATTTTCACATCAATGCGCCTACGTCTAGCTATTGTAGGTCTAGATTTAGCGTCGATACACCTACATCTCTCGGTTGAAACAGATACATATAGCTGGTATGTCTACTTCTAGCTAGTGAATCGTCTGTAGCGTGTCTTTAATACGTCTATAACAGCCACTGATGTGTCTATATTTAGCTAATATTTTGTCTATATCTAGCTACTGATACATTTTTTGTCTAGCCTCTGATACGAATCTACATCCATCCATCAATATATATTTCGTTTTCTCTCACATCTTGTTCCAAATCGCTACTGAATGAAGGTAAAAAAGAAAAAAAAAGAAAAAAAAGAAAAAAAAAAATCGACGTCGCGCCACAAGGAAATTCTTCTCGGGGAAGTGACCAGCGACTGAGCGTCCCCGATTTCCTCGCGTCCGCTGCCCAGGAAAAGAAAAAAAGGAGAGCAGGTAGTGTCGGACGGGGTTACGCCGTGACGTCACGACCTCGGAAACACGTATAT